CAGAGCAACATACAACCTACTCTGCTGGCTCTCCCATTGACTTTAATTGCACAATCCGTTCCCTGGGCTTCCTGCACTTGTGCCGTAGCATCTACCCTGCAGCTTCTTAGGCTTGGATGTGGTCTGCACCAGGCCTCCAAAACCCCCCTCTGCCATCCCACAATTAATGTGCAGCATACACATGCCTTCATCCTTCTTCGCCAAGACATCCCTTTGCTCCTTACCTGGGATTCCTGCCACTTTCTGGTTAAAGATGACCCATGCGTCTTACAGTAATGACAGCAACTGGGAATGTCACTATGCTGTGCAGTCACTTGATGACTGCATTAGTTAGTGACAGCAATCTCAGTTCTATTTATCATTGTAACCTGAGGATTATCTCTAATTTAATTAGAGGGATTAAGTCCCTCAATAGAGAGGTAGTCAAGGATGTTCTTGCTACCAGCTAGAATATCGGTGTTAATCTTGCAAGAACAACGATTTCATGCTTGAAGATTTGAACTCTATTAAATAGTCTTATGATTAATGCTTTATGATAGACTGAGCAAGGAGCATCTTGGGGAGCTGCAGCAGCAGATTGAAGACCTTCAGAAATCCTTGCAGGAACAAGAGTCCAAGTCAGAAAAAGAAAGGGTAGGTATGACATCGGAATATACAAGTAGTTCTTGGATTACGTCCATTTGTTCAGTGACTGTTCAAAATTATGACAGTACTGAACAGATGGTATTTACAGCAGGTCCTTGTACAGTGAGTGTTGCAGTGTGTCTGTGGTCAAGTGATTGCGATTTATGAGATTCCCTGCTGGCTTCCCACAAGAGAAGTCAGTGGGGAAGCTGGCAGGAAGTTGGAATTCCAAAAGGTATTGTTTTCACGACCTTTGCAGTCCTCGCTTAACCATGGCAATCAAGACTGGCAGAATTGCCGTTGGCAAGTGATGCAGTCATATGATATTGCACTCTACAACCACAATTTTCATCGTAAGTGGAGCACCATCTATATTTCATAATAAAACATCAAAGTTCCAAATACTCTAATAACTTTAGTGTAAGTTATTACATAATAAGAATGTGCAGGTGTTTGCTATATGAGCTTTTCTCTGCATAATTTATTCCAGTTAGAAGACTATTTGTGTCTATACATACAAGAATCTGTTAACTTTGTTAATGGGATACTTTATTCTACAGAGAAGTAATTCTAACCAATAGTGATTTGTATTAAGGCTGATTAAATTTGAACCTGAGTTGTCCTTTTGGAATATGGCCTCTGGCCAGTTCTAGGATGAAAATGCATTATCTGTATATATAAAAGTGAAATACCACTCCTGCATTATCACAAAATCTCCAGAACTGTAAAGCCTACAAACTTGAAATTTGGCTTCTAGATGCTCACTAAGAAAGGATTTTTCAAAACGACCATCAGAGCATTACTATTTTGTATATTATTATTAACACGCTCTGATGCTAAGGAGATCTACTTCCCCTCCCCACCTGAAAAGAAATCTGTTCCAAATGCAAAACACGAGCAGAGGAGAGGAGTTTCAGTTTTAGTTTCACAGCACTAAGCAGCTTTAATACAGAACAGTTGAGCTAAGTCATGCCCAGGCTCCTTGCTGTTTCCTTCTTGCTCACACAGCAAATACTGTTTCAGTTTCCAAATAGCCCTCAACTCTCTCACACACTGACAGGACACTAGCCAGATGAATACCGATGGATGCTGGTAGGCAGAGGCAGAATCCCCCCCCCTTATTTTCCTCCCCAAAAACTAAGCCCAACCACATAGTTTCATAGCGAAGCACGAGTATTGGGCTAGTTTGAATATATGTATACAAATATACACAGTGAGTTCATTTTTCTGAAGAAAGGAATATTCAGGCTTGGTTTCAGTAGGAATTGACAACTTTGATTAACAAGCAGGAAAGCTTGTGCAAGATTTTTGTATGTGTTTATAACTATGTCAGTCTTTAATCATTCCTTGGATATGGAATATCTTAAATTCAAAGTAAATATTCTGTCTTTTGTATAAATTGCACTTAAAACATGCATTTTACTTAAACAAATACAAGTATATGACATATTTTAATGTTGAGAGCAATTAGTTCATGAATAACTAAGCAAAGTTTCAAAAAAGGAACTAATGTAATGCATGGCCATTCCTAAAAATCACAGGGCAATTATGATATGGGAAAAACATAGACTGAATATAATTTTCTTTATTTTTATTGGACGTTGAATAAAGATCCTGAAACATGGTCTATTCTAGTTATGTAATGAAGTAGGACTCAGTAGTTTTTAATATTGCTCTACAGTGGGGTTGATCATAGTTACCTCTGTGTGTGTGTGTGTGTGTGTGTGTGTGTGTGTGTTTGTGTGTGATCATATGATCAATAACTTTCTAGTCACTTTTATTTATTATTTGCAGTCCAGTCAATTGAAGCAGAAGATAGCAGCCCATATGTAAGTGATACATTTATATTTCTTTGTATGCATGTGAGCAGACATTAAAACAAGACTTTTTCTGACTTATTTAACTAATCTTTTTTCCCTGTTTGTAACACCATTGTGGAATTGGAAGAAAATGCTGCTTTTATTAGTAGTAAAATATGTACATAAAATGGGGGACCATAGACAAGTGGGGTTTTTTGCTGTTGTATGGTCCTCTCTGTTGCCTTCCCAGACATATTGATCTTGTAACTCAATAATTGTGGATTCCCCTTAGGCATTCATCCTCCAAAACCTTGAGGGAGAGTCTGGGTTTGTTCAGGAATTCATAGCTGTTAGGATAACTATGTACTTCTCACCTATGTTATGACCTTAATTTGTTTTTTTAATAGCATTGTATTGGTTTTGTGATGGGATGGTGTGCTTTAGTGTTTCTTATAATTGTGAGATGAGAAGGTAACATGCTATTTTTTATATAAAATAAAATGTCAGTTATGTTGCTTTTTAATTAAAAGAAGCCATATACTTTCAGGGAGAAATTAAATGAAGTCCACAAGGAACTGCAGAAGAAGGAAGCTCTTCTTGCAGACCTTCAACCAGATTTAAATCAAAATGGTAAAGTGATGTTTTACCCCTTTAACTTTTTGCTTCAGGTATACATTATTCCTATTGCATATATAAACTTTGGAGGACATTTAACTTTCTCTGTTTGATTTCTTTTACTACCCAGTATATTGATAAAATACTGCAAGTGTATAAATTGAAGGATATATCCCTTTTTTCTTCATTCTTAAAAATCATATTTTATTAAATGCAGTACGTATGATAACTTTGAGCTGTATTTCTGAATACTACAGTGAATGTAGCTGGTAAGGCAAAATGAGGACTTGTGATCCCTCAGATGTTTTATTAAAATCCAAATTTTATCGGCATTAATGGGATCGCAATCTGTATTCTTAATGGATTACAACTAATTACTGATCATTTAGGCCTCCCAGAGGTAACAGTATTCACATGTTATTGGTTGTTCCAGATGTGGATATTTATCTCTACTAATATTACGTTGGGTTTTCTAATAATAGCACAAAAAATAGAAGAATTAGAAGCTGCTTTGCATAAGAAAGATGAAGATATGAAATCAATGGAAGAGAGATATAAGATGTATTTAGAAAAAGCAAGAACTGTGAGTATTATTTTCTCTAAACCAATGAATTATTTAAGAACTCTTGAACTGGAAAATTGTTCCACTCCCACTTCTACTATTTGAAAGCTACATTAGTTCTCTATTCCATACTTAAGTTTCCTAATTTAGTTAACTATGTGGCAGTATCTAATTTAATCTTTTTTCTACAATTCAATTGTGCCTGATTCTTGGAGACTCCCTATACAAATCCTTGCAGTTTTCTTGGCAAGATTTTTCAGGAGTGATTTGCCATTGCCTGCTTTCTAGGGCTGAGAAAAAGTAACTGAATCAAAGTCACTCAGCTGGCTTTGTGCCCAATGCGGGAATAGAACTCACATTCTCCTGACTTGAAGCCTGATGCTTACAACAAAATAGTTTGCAGTTGTGATCTAAAATAATTAAACAAATAAACAAACACACTCAAACCCTTAACATTAGCTTATTCTGCTTTTCTAGGAAAGGTTTATCTCATCCTGAAAAAGGGAAATAAAATAAAATCTGTGGCACCCTGGATTTTTACTTCAATCACTGATAGCTTTATCAAAAGGATATATGCACTATATCCGTTTCATTTAGATGAAGGATTAATAAGAAATGTTTAATCCCTTCAAACTATGTCATAAACATCACATATGATAGGCATCAGAAAGCTTTTTCTCAGACTGAACCCATAAAAGCAAGAAAAGCAGAGTGAATTTGTTGATGTAAATAAATGGAAATAGAATCAATAGACTGGAGCTATAGGCTAGACCAGAAGGTTGAAAAAACATTCTGGAAGAAAGAATAGAAGTCACCGTACAAAATTGTTCCAAACTTTTTTAATAAAGGTGGCTTGTTCAGTTAGAATGGCAAATTTTAGGCTAGTTGATCGATGTAATTGTTGCATATGTTATTTCTGTAAGTGGATAAAAATCATTGTAAATATAATGTATGTTCTTTCTGCAGGTCATAAAAACTTTAGATCCCAAATTAAAACCAGCATCTGCTGAAATAATGTCGCTAAGAAAACAGTTGGCAGAGAAAGACAAAAGAATAGAAACACTTGAGGTATTTTATTTATTTATTCAATTTATATGCCATGCATCTCACCATCAGGCAACAGTGTTTTTATATATTTATTAAATGCATACTTGATTTCTGGTCATGTGAACACTTAAGGAAACTTACAACAATAGAACAAAATATAAAACTAAACAGTAAAACTAAAAACAATTTTAATATGTTTTCCTTCATTGCTGGGTGGGAAATTCTGGGAGTTGAAGTCCACACCTTTTAAAATTGCCAAGGTTGAGACACACTGGTAATGAACTAAAATTAAGCCAGAAGAAATATAATTAAAATCTGAGTTTATTACTGAAGATAATATAAAGCAGTAAAATTTTTGTCTTTTTTTTAGGCTTATGTGTTGCTTTACAAAATTATGCATATAGTAATCATTTTGTTGCCTTGAATGTCATATAATTTCTTCCACTTACATTATACTTCTTACAAATTCATTTTAGGGTCAGTGTAAATCAGCCAGGATTCAGGAGCATGAAGAAAAGTTAATTGTATCTGCATGGCATAACCAGGTGAGTTACTGTATCTGTGCACAAGGGAAAGTTTTCACATGGGTGAAATTCAAATATATTCTACTGATGGAAGCAGCTTCCTGTGACAGGCCCCCAAATATGATTTCCTAACCTTGTGCAGCAGATTTTAAGAAGCTAGTGGAAGCCACAGGGTGGGGATAGGGGAGTATCTAAGTATTCAAGCACAATTATTTCTGTCCTTGTGTAGCATTGGATTTTATTCTTAATATTTTCAGAATCAAATAGCTAGATCTGATATGATTAATATTTAGTGAAATGATGATTTTTCTCTGGGATCCTTGTGATTACATGCAGTTTATTTTTCTTTGCAGAGTTCCCTACTAGACCGTGTTGTTTTACGGAAATGTTTGATGGGGTCCTTTACTCTATAACAGGAGTCTCCAAACTTGGCAGCTTTAAGACTTGTGGTCTTCAACTCATAGAATTCCCCAACCAGCCATGCTGGGGAAATCTGGGAATTGAAGTCCACAAGTCTTAAAGTTTCCAGGTTTTGAGACTCCTGCTGTATAGAATTAGTCATGGATCCCTCTGGAAGGTCCTAGTTTTTGAGTGACACAATAACATAATTGCCTTTGAATTCTTCCTCCTAAGTAAAAGTCTTAATTTTTACTTAACATTTTACTTGATTTTTAATGTTATTCATCTTCTCAGCTATTCTTGACCTCAGTATTGTTTTGTTCTCACATACTGAGCATTCAACTTAATGGCCTTTAGGCCTCTAAGTGTCCTGCAAGGGGGGTGGTAAAATAACATCAAAAATTGTGCTACCTGTTTTGTTGCTAAATGGTGGTGTGATCTGAAATGGGCTTGATGCCACAACTTTTGAGTGTTATAGACTGTCCATTCCTGCAGTGCTGGAATCTATATTTGTCATACATTTTTCAGTAGCCATATTCCAAATGTGATACTACTTTTAAGTAACGCTGTTTCTAGAAATTATTCCAGGATTATCATGCATAATTTGTAGATCAATTATATAGCATATTGTTAGGTATAACATTGATACCAAATATGGTTTGGGTGAATAAATAT